TTGCCACTGCATTATGTTTTGGGGGTCTCTGAATATTTAGCATTTTTCTATTGCCTTCCATTTATGTCAATATTTCACTCAAAAGGTATGGTATGTGTGGGAAATGATTTCTCTGTTGCCTGACTTATAGTTGGAGATTTATACTTTCTGGTCCTAACAGCATGCATTGAGGTATCATTTTTCATTGTGCCAGTTATAGTTCATTCATCAGTTTCAACCTAAAGGTGTCATCATACTTTGCTCATTAGCTAATTGATTTACATACATATTAAGGGTTTTGATTGGACTTTGAGAACATAAAAAAGAAGATCATAAGTGAAGATAGAAACCAAAATGACACATTTGCATAAAGTAGGAGGTAATGTGTTGCTACTCGTCTACACTTTACTATCTTCTGCTCATATGTGTTTTTTTATTTTTATTTTTTGTATGACAGGTGGGAGATCAATGCCGGTCCAATGATGACGGTGAGCCATCAGGAACAGCTGGGAAACCAATACAAACTGCTATTGATTCTTCAGGAATAGACAGAGTAATGGTAGTGGTGATCAGGTTAATCTTTACCTTATAATTCGCATTTGCATATTAATGTCCACAACTTTGAATCAGTTAAATGTTTCGGTTTGCATATATTTGATGTCTACCATCGCCCCCACCCCATTTCGTGAAGAAAAAAGCAAAAGAAAATTGTTTTTTTGACACCTTGATGAAATGTTACAACCTTCAGGTGATCAAAATTAAGGATATTCTTTTCCCTTTACGAAGTTCTTCTATAATTGTGGGGTAATCTGTGTATAAAGGTAAGTTCAAAATATAGAATCCATTTTGTGCTTTAGCCTTCCCAGTCTTCCTCATAGTTCAGTTAATGATAAGATAATCATTAGAAGAAAAAATCAAAGTGCAAGGTAGAGAGGAAGTGAGTTTGTTAACACATTAAAATGGAATAAGTTAAAATTATAAAGAACATTATGAAGAGAGAAAGTAGGGGATAAAATCTCATTACCAGCAAAGTTAGCCATAGAATGTTGACCATTTGGAAGAGAAACATGTATAGGTTGGATTTTTTTTTAAAGGAAAAGAAACATAACGAGGATGTTATATGGTTAGTATATCCTGAGTCTAAAGTTCACTGGGCTAGGAGAGGTATTGGGAATCTAAGTGTGAGTCTAAGTCCCACATTGAATAGAAATGAGAAAGTAGAGCACTCATTATATAAATGTGTAAGACTCATTAACCCATTGCCTTAAAGTTTTTGGTAGAGAGTGATGTCAATCCCTTATATGGTTGGGCTCATATCTCATAGGTGTTTGTATCTCTTTGGTGAACGTCCTCCTTAATAGACCCAACAAGAGGTACCTGAAGGTTGAGGTGAAGTGTTAACACCATGGCTGCTAACCAAGTTGGAAGTAAATATTGTAGGGTCATCAGGAGAAGATATAGTCATGTTAGAGGCAGATTTTGTGGTTCAATAACCTTGGGGAAACCATGCTTAAAGATTCATGTTTTGACGGTATGATTGGTCTTTTTGTAGTGAATGTGTTGCTTCTTTGATTTTTTTTCTTGGAATTGGATCAATCCCTTCCTAAAGAGTTTGATGAAGGTAGAATTTGGGTTGCCAAAAGCTAAAGTTTCATCTAAAATCCCAACATTCAGTTGACATTCTTGTTGGACCACCATAGAAAAATCATTAGTAGCAAAAAGGATTGAGAAGGAAGATTTGAGATTGGACTGTAGAATAGTTGTTATCGAACCCTTGAAGAAAGTACAAAACAAAATCATTGTACCTTTGTTCTTTGACACCATATATGTGTTGTGCAAGAATTAGAGTCACATAGAGTTAGTGGGTGAACGCTAAAGTTGTGATATTGTTCCGGAATGATCTTGCATTTGGTGAAGTAAGTGGTATTAGAGGAATCACCTTATTAGAACAAAAAGAAGTTTAGTTCGGTTCGTCTAAACTAATTTTATATTTAGTTTAGTTCAAACAAACTATTTTTAGTTTAGTGCAATTAATTTTTCCCACTCCTAATTAGAGGCGATATCAATGTACATATACTGTGAGCAATTTTTGGGGAAACTAAATGGAGGAGCCATGATAGAACTAGGGTATTGCAATGTTTCTGCAATGCAAGCTGGAAATAATTTGAAGTGGGTTTTTTGAAAGTTCCACCTACAAAAGAGAATTTGTTTTTCATCTCCAATGTTGTCACCAATAATAGGACCAGTTATGATAATTGGTTTTGTCAAGGACGAGGGAAACAATATTGTGGGATGAGTTTTCATCAAGATGTATGTAGTTTTGGATGGTAGCATAAAGAGAGGCAGTGGTGACTGTCATGTTGCAGAACAACCAATAAGGAGAAGGAGAAGAAAATGAAGAAGGGTAAAAAAGTAGCTTATTAGAAACTCTATTAGTATAAGAGGATTTCTCCAAAAGAGAAACTGAATTGCATTCAAAAGTAGAGGGACATGTATAAAGTTTTGATTACAAGATAAAAGCAAATAAATACACACACACACATATAACAACTATAAAAACTATTAACAAACTTAAAACAGAAAGCTAACTCTTATACATTCACCAAAAACTTTAAAACTATCATTTGCATGTTCTTTTTGATGGTTTTGTACATAAGCATATGTTATGTGTAAAAGCACTAAACTGTTTTATTTTGATGATGGATTTGGAATATAATTTGTATTGTGATCTATATTAAATTTCAGGCATTTTGGGGGTATCAAATTAGGAACTGGGGGATTGGTCAGAGCTTATGGAGGAGTTGCATCAGAATGCTTGAGGAATGCCCCAACTTGCCTTGTGAAAACAAAGGTGGTTTTATTTTTGTCTACAATGCATCTTTAGTTTTAGTTATACCTAGGTCTCAGCATTTCACTTTCTTTAAGGTTGTCTGAACACATTAAGCTTGTTTATGATGTATTTATTTATGAATAATCTTGTAAAAAATGTAGGTGCCAATGGGTGTAGAGGTTCCCTTCGACCTACTTGGAGTTATCTACCATCAGGTTAGTTCTGGCTACTGATGATTTCCTGATATTGAAGAGTCCTAAGTTAGACTTGGATTTGACTGAAAAAAAATGATAAGTAAGGAACAAGATTTGGATATTCAAGTTTTTCTGTAGCAACAAGTCTAACTTGAGAAATACATTTCAATTTCTACTTATTCACTCCTTGATGTCAGCCTATTATGACATGTTTGGTAATATGGTGAGTTGAACTTCCTGTGATTTTGTAAAGCAAACAACTAGTTAATTTCATGGTGACTTCACCGAGATTTTATCCTCAACTTGGATTCCTACAGTCAGCCATACAAACACATTATATGTATAAACTGCATTTTTAACCTCTCCCTTTTAATGTTTTTGCTGAAAAAGAAAATTACTGGTTCAGAAATCATAGGTTATCTTTGATTTGATGTCGTTAATGCAATGATATCAATCTACTGCTGGCTGGTACTTGTGCTTGAAATGGTAAGAAGTGTATAGAAAAAAAAAAAGCTAGACCCTTGCAATTACAGCAAGTATATTTTTCTTACAGCAAGTGGATTGAGTTGAGTCTAAATGTTTCCGCATCTATTGTTCATTTTCTTTTTATTCTTTTTTCAGGTGCAATCTTTTCATGTGGAAGACATCAAGCAGGATTATAATACCGGTAAAGATGGCATATCTATGGTTACTTTTAAAGTTGATTTTGACCAAGTTGACAAATTGGAGGATGCACTGAAAGCCAATTGTAACAGAGAATTGAAGTTTTATAAGCGGTGAAACATGATCGCATGAAATCAGTCTTAGGATTTTGATTATATTTTTCTTATATATGGAAGATACTTTTTCACCTGAAGATGGGATGAACAGGACATCTCCAGGACCTTGACTAATTTGAAAATGAGGAAACTCATAATAGTTTAAAAACTAGAAGGCATTTGTATACTGATAATGTTGCATAATTTGTAAATTCAGAAGAAGTTACCTAGGGTATAATTTATACAGAAGCTGCACAAAATTGTACTCTTTCTGGACTTATAATTTAAAAGTAACAAAAATTAATCGTGGAATCAAATATAAATAATTACACATTCTATTTAAGAATCATAATTTAAAAGTACACTCTGATTAATTGGGGTTTGTACATTTGAAGATTCAAATGTAATAGTGATATCAAGTTTCAGAGAATGACATTCTAGAAAAAAAAATTAAATAAAATTACTTAACTTGTAATTAGTATAAAGTTAATTTTACTTTTTTCTAAATTAAGTGAATTTCCTCTTAAATAATGCGGAGACTCAGTTTTAGATACAATTACACCATTATTTACTGTGCTTCATTGTTAGTCACCTTTGATTGATCTCAATCACATTTTCCAGCTTTAGATATAATTACACCATTATATATTGTGCTTCATTGTTAATTGATCTCAATCACATTTTTCACACAACTGCCTAATTGTTTGAAGTGGTTATCAATAAAATAGAAGATCTATCTTCCTGCATTTTCATGGTCTCTTTCTGTAATTGAACCTGATCTAATCAGTGTCCTAAGAAAATTTAGTCCATCGTCTATAAAAAAAATCAGATTTTAGTCTATTGATTAATCAAGAAAAACATAAATGGATAAAATTCAAAATGTTCATACGGCTATGCAGATTCAAGCCATTATGGTCCCAAGAACTTTGGGTCTCCACGTGTCAAAGACAAACATTCCAGCTTAGTGAAGCACAGAATATAACATTCCTTCCAAAAAGAAAAAAGCAAAGCAGTCTCCCATCCATAAAGACAGGATACATGTTATACTATTTTTAAGAATTCTAATACAAACTCTAAACAATGAAATGCATTAAAAGGAAAGGAAACAAATTCTCTCTCATAAACTGTGCTTTTTGGATAGTATATAACACATGCTAAAACTACCACAATTATCTTTTCTTCAGTAAGAGAATCATACTTCTTCTGGTCAGCAATTAGAAACACCAAGATTTCTCTTTCTAAATACCACGCAGATAGTCTTTCACAGACAAACTATTACACCCAAAATGAAGAATTCATCATGTATCTGGCAGAAGCAGAATAGAAGCAGTGCATGATGATACCCCTTTTCCTACAAAACCAAGACAACATGATGGACGCCCTACAAAAAGATTCCCCTTTTAAGTTTTCCCAAAATCTGTGACAAGAACCATACATACTGTAAACAGCAATCACTACCAACCCAACCAAGATTTCCCTTTTGAGGATTTTCCAAAATTTGTGGCTAAGAACAACACACTATTTTCCCTCATCTTTCTCCTCCCCATCTGAATCGGAGTCAGCAAGGACATGAACAACCCCTTTCGTTCTAGTCCTATTAGCCACTGTTTTAACCCTCAACCTCTTCCGCATCCCATTCTCCTCGTCAACAAAGCTACGCCGGTCACCAACGGGATACCTGAGCGGAAAACTCACGTGGTAACAGTAGTACTCCTCCTTCCCCGCCACCACCGACTCCGGCGGAGGGGGCTTCACCTCGGTGCCGTGAAACGTCTTCTGGCAATTGGCGCACCTCAAAGAGCAATCCTCGTAATACCTCTGGTATTCGTGGAGGTACCAGCAGTAGGGGCACATTGTCCAAAACGAAGAAACCTCGTCTTTAACCTTTCTGTCAAAACTTGCCTTGAGTGTGGGATCAGAGAGAACACACCAAGCTTCGCGCACGCGCATGAGGGCCTCGTCTGCGAAGGGAAACTTATTCTTGTTAGGGTCCAGGAGGCGCACTAAGATCTTGAACTGTTGTCGTACGAAATCACGGTCAGCAGCAACGTCTCCAGAACTGAGGCGCAGGATGGAGTACCAGTCAAGTGGGTCGTGGCGGCGCTCTGCGGCGGCAAGAACATCGGCAACCGCAAGGATTTGGTCGATTTGCAGAGAGGCGTTGGAGTCGGATCTGACGATCTTGCGAGTGAAATCACGACAGGCGATAAAGCTGCGACGCTTGAGAAGGGAAAGCGCAGGGCGAAACATGGAGAGGGTGTCGGAAGCGGTTCCCTCTGAGGTTCCTTCGTTGTCTTTGTCTTTTTTTTCCTCCATTCTGTCTTTGATAATCTAACACCTCCACACCCGCAAGATAAAGGGAGCGAAAATTTTGTGACTAAACTCCGCCTTTTATACTCTCCTTATGCCAAGTTCATTTCAAATTGGACTGTCAATTACATCCACTAAATTCTCTCATCTCAAATATTACCCCCTCTTTCAAAATTTCAGTTAATTTAATTATTTACTTTCAATTTTCTTTTTCTAAATTTATTTTGTATGAAGAGACAGGTAAGGAAAAAATGTGAAAACTTTTAAATTCCTAATTTTCAAATTCTGCTATCTCAAACAAATAAATTTATTTTTACAAATTTTAAGAATTGATTTTTTTAATTTCTTTATCACTAAACAATACTTTTTTGTAAAATAAAAGTAATTACTCTTTAAAATATGTTCATCCAGAAGGTAAACCTTTAAAAGATACCGCTTCACTCAAACTAATATCTTCAGTCAAGCAAGTTGAGGTTGTTGAATTGATGTTTTTATTGTATGTGATGATACAAATGAGAATTCATATTATAGTGAGCAGAGACTTGTTCAGACTTATCTAAAATCTTATTTTTTAAAGAAAAAACTAAGGTCAAATTATAAAAAGATGGTGCTTGAAGTAGATAGCTCCATCATCAAATACACTGGAACAAGGTGATGGGAAATACTTTCGAACCAACCATTCCCTACTATTTGGACAACTTCAATTTCCATCTTTTTATATACTCCTTGAAGGTTCTACCACCCAAGTTTTATCATTAGTGAACTATTTTCTCAACTTTCGAATGTTTTTCTCATCCTATGACCTTGTACTCAATTTCTCTTGTAAGTTTGAGTTGAATTGCTATATTGTACGTCTTTTTACCTATTGAGCTTTTTTTGTTGAAGGCACCAGAAATAAAAGAAGTGGTTGAACTGTGTTTATAAATGTCAGAACCGTGAAACGTGAAAGATGTGTTATGCTCAAGAATCTCATAATTTTGATAATATGAAAAGTATATTTAGCTTTGGTAAACTAGTGAAGTCCAACAAGAGGTTGTACAAGAGGCACGTGAACATAGATATTATCTTTCTTACCTTAGATGCTCAGCAGCCAAAATTGGACTTACACGCATAGTAAATCATGCTATAAAAAGGACAACATATGTTTGTTTCTTTTCACAGGCTCTAAAAAACAAGAAGGTTTCTATAGCTTCTCACTCCCTATAACAGATAATCTTTTCAAGTTAATATATGTTTTGGGTAAGAAGTTGAGTCACTTCTAACACTTACACAATTTCTGTTCTGAAACCGTCCGGTCTTCAACTTGAGTCCTCGTCTTCACTCTACCATTTGGAGGTATACCTGTCAAAGGTTCTCCGATGCTAAAGTCAGTAAACTGTCTGTTCGTTAGCTTAATGTAATAGTAATAAATGCACAATAAATGTGATCACTTACTACTTATATTTGACTTGTATTTATAGTTTTCGACATAGGTTTCAGTAGTGAGATTTTAATCACGTCCTACTTATGATCGTTCAGTCATATACACTAATTTTGCCTCACTCAATTGCCTTAGAGTGTTCTTGTGTGTTGACGTCCGGTTTGCAACATTGGTGTGTCCGTGTGAACATTGATGTCATACACACTTTTGGCTCGGACCGGGGTATGTTTGTTTGTAGGATTATGTTGTGGCCGATGAGCCCATAGAAGTCGTGTATTGTGCAATTAATGTGCAATTATAAAGAGATGAAGATAAATGGTAATATGATTTTGAACCTCAAATGTACGTTCTTATGTTCTTATTCTGAGACTAAACTTGTATCCAAGAAAACTTCCTGAAGTCGTGTATTGTGCAATTAAGCTTTAATGCTCACTCTCAGTTTGTAATTTTTAGAACACTTTTAAAAGTAAAAATAAGTTAGTAATCTTGAGTTTATTGATGTGTGAACAATAACACAACCAATAATAAAAAATGTGCCGCAGAAGTAATTTTTCTAAACATATGAGAAGCAATAATAATAAAAAATAATAATAAACACAAAAATAAAAATATTAATATTATTAACCTTGAAAACCTTATGTTAAAGTAACAATTTTCGGACAAGTAAATCAAAAACTCAAATTCATAAATCCAACCTTAGTAAAAGTTGTCATCACATATGATTCAAAACAAGATATCCTTATATGTTGTGAACTTTTTCATCTTTATTTAATATAAGAGTAAGACTTTTATATTTGAAATTTTATCCATTATAAAGAGTGGTATTGAAAAGTACTTGGGGTAGTCAAGAATAATAACTAAAAATGCTTATTTGTATTTATTTCTTCACATTCGCTCATGTAATGAAATTTCAGTTATTTCTTCTCTTCGATGTAAAATTTGTCAGACAAGATTTCTCGTTTATTTTTGTGATCAGATCAAACAACTTTACATAGACATAGATCCGGAGAAGTTCATTGACTACTGCCAGAAGTTCATTACAACTACAATGGTTGGAAAACGAGTAAAAGATGGCAGGGGGGTAGACAATGACTGTTATATTTTAAAACCGGATAATGTCAATCGAATCTGATGCTGCAACGTGTATAACAGTTTCAACTGAACCAAAAACTGCGTTTTAAGCTACTTGCATTAACTAACTGAATCAAAACTGCAGGCTAAGAATACTAAATAATTACTGCTACATACAAACATAACGTGCAAGCAAACTGAGAAATGCAATACCACTGTAAACCCTACCTAAGAGCATTAGCGAACTTAGCACAAGCACCTCAGAACATGGAGTAAAGAATAATGTTGCCATCCAAAGGTCAAGTTCTAACATCTTTGAGTGCCCCCCCTTTTTCGAGCTCGCTGACCAAATCCTTAAGAGACGGAACCTTTGTAGCCAAGGTCCTATATAATCTAGAATAACGTGCCCGTGTGCCATCTGCAGTCCTAGCTAGAGCGAGCAAGCTTAGAGCCTCCGGTAGTTCATTAAAAACTTGTTTCATTTCCTCCAAGTTCATATTTTCCAAAACGGAGGGTCTAGGGGCCACCCTCACAATTTCACCACCTTTAGGTTCCTGAACTCGTGCATCAGCTTTAATGACCAGTTCCGACTTAGAGTTAGCACCACATTTTATTATAAAGGGTAATGTCGAGCCAGTGTTAAATTGTAGTACATTCCATTGTGCTACGTCAGTTTCAGATCCAGAGCTCAGATCTGTTGATGACTTGCGACCATGAGATATATCTTGAATGGGGTCATCTTCTTCAGGAATTGACTGTATCATGACAAAAATCAATCCAACTTAACTTTCATCAGTTCAGCTCTTTTAGCAAATAACTAAGCTATTGACCCAAACAACACAGTAAAAACTGTTTTATTTCAGTATTGATTATAATTTGAAAACTGTAACTAAGACAGAAGAAAGAAGTAGGTATACAATACAATACACAACATTTTGCATACCTCAACAATGTAGCGGGCATCTGCAATGTGCCTCTGAGCACATGGATGATCAATTTGGAGAAGTGAAGGCATCTGTTCTTTTAATTCATCAAGAGATGCAAGCATAGTCTTTTTCTTACTTTTGCTCAAGATGTTCACAGAAGAAAGTCTTGTCATATCCTGTTTAATAATGCCTTCAATTATTAATAACTATCCAATCAGTACACTAACTTTTGAAAATAGATTTGAGAAATAATGTTAGTTTAGAACCTTGATTTGCTTTAATATGCTATCAAGCGAAATAAGAGATGCTAATCGTGCATCTTCAGCTGCAGTAGAAGGATTTTGAATAAGGGAGCCACTATTTTCTAATGTTAATAAGGCTGTATCGCTTTTCATTTGTTGCAGAATCTGATAAAAGGAAATTGAAAAAATCAATGTCAGTGTATGATGAACAAATTCAAGACAACAGAGAAGTAAGATCCTTCATCAAAGCCAATGCAATTACCCAATTAGTGAACGTCATATTACCGATTTATCTTTACCAGAAATAACATCATAAACCATGAAAAAAACATAATCAATTATTGACATCTTTTTCTTCTAAAATACTAAAATTTCTTTTCCAAAACATACAAAACTTGTCTTCTCATTTAAAATTAGAAGAATAAATGAATAAAATTTAGTATAAGCAAATAAATGGAAAATAAATTAAAAAAATATTTGAGGCTCTTAAATTTCTATACAAGAAAATGAACAAAATAGACGTAAGTGTTTTTATGTTATACCATCACATTCTATCTTTTACAAGTGAATATTATTTAGACTCGGTTTTGTCTCCCTATGTCATCTAAAACCCCAAAATTGCAAAAGTTATCTAGGATAATCACTTTGGAATAGTTTAAATTTCATTGCTTTATTTATTTCCTTTTGAATTTGATTAGCATGAGGAGTCAAAGAATGCTATAAACAAGGGTTTAATACTTTGTCTTCTGCAACACATCATTACACGTCATATATCAATACCATATTTTATTTCCCAAGTGTTTTTCTTACCTAAATTCCTATAATTTCAACATTCATGATATCCAACCTTCACCATCCTTTGTAAACCAATCGAATCACTACAACAATGCCAACTTTCTATAAGTTTGAATTTTTTTCTTTTTAATTTTATCATAATTTTCAATGATTGTATTGTCTTTGCTCTCTTCCCAGCATTGATTGGGAGAGTAAGAATGATGAAATTAAAATGTTAACTCCAACAGTTCCACTGATAGTGGCTAATATTAGTAGAGTCGTGAGCCCTGTCCTTTTCCTCCACAATATCAAATGCACCTGATTTAATTTCTTTGTTCTATACCCACTTGGCCTGTATAGGTTGAAACGAGCTATTTATACAATTAGAATTTGTTAGAGATACTTGGTTAACAGGCACCAACCTTGTCATTACAACAACTCTCAGCCTCTAGGGTCAAATTAAAAATGGTGTTGCCTTATAATTAGAGGCTATATCAGCATTTACCGTGCAATTTTTATCTGGCAACACTAACACATGACAAACATGAACTCATGCAGCAACTAAAGATATATATGTTGATATAACACACCTTTGGCATGCATAAGATTTAACTGTTTGAAAAAAAAAAACACCTTTCTTCTTTTATGATCAACTGATTCTAGAGCTGAACGTAGTTTAGCTACTTGTGCTGCATCTTCAGCCTCCTCTGTTGCCAAGGTACCAGCAATATCCTGTCAATCAAATGTCAGAAAACAGAAATCCAACATAATGGAAAAAGATTTCATTAATTTCTTTTGATCTAAAGTATACATCCACAGCACAAAATGTAATCAAACAAATCACATAAATGTAACATCCCAGGAAAGGAAACGTAGATCTGCACCTAAATATATGGTCGTTATGCTAGTTGCATGTATGAATTCAAAATGCATGTAAAAATCTTGGAAAAATGATATGGTGAAATTCTAAGCAGAAATCCTTTTTCTTTTGTCAAACTAACACTAGACTTAGATCTTGAATTTGGTATGACGGGTAAAGAAAAAAGAAGACCAAAGTTTAATCTAGATTGATAGAAGCTACAAAATTACTCCATTCAGTAAAACATGCCAAAATGAAGTAGCTGGGACTTGGTCTACTATGTATAGAACAATTGTTATATTTGAATGTGACAGCTATATGAGTGTCATCTCTCCCAACAAAGTCCTTGTTGAAAGTCTCACATAAATTAGAGATAAGATTAATTTAGAGCATATATGTGAGTGCAAACCTCATCTTACAAACTGGTTTTGTGAGATTGAATTAAGTTTAAAGTTCACTTTTTAAGTGTCCTAAAGCAAACAAGCTTCTTCTAATAATGAACTTATGAGGGGTACATTTAGAATTCATTCCACACATAGAGCTAACGTGTGCCATACCTTCAAGTGTTGTAGTTGAGAAGTATAGACACGTTTTGAATATTCAAACAATAGCTGGCCAAGGGCATCAGTATGGGGAGGAAGAGCCGCACCAAGGCCAGCCATCCAACCATCCATAATTGCAGTTGAAAGAAGTTCCAACTGACCAGTTGAGCCCCCCAATGCATCATCCCCAGCTACTGATAGAAATTCAAAATTCTCGGCAAGCCAGGATCTAATTTGGCGCTGCAACTCACCAGCAGGTGTATGTACAAAGAGTGCAGCAAGGGCTTTGTTCCCCATTGCAAAACTTTTGGCCTCCTCGGTAATTTCCCTAAGATTTCCACCAGTTACCTGCTGTCTCCAGATATCCTGTGCAGTTCATTTCAAAATCAAAACAGAATCATGTAACATAGGTTCAAACAAAGTAAGCTTTTTTTTTCAGGTATGTAGCAGAGAAGAAAGAAAAACACAAAACCAACACAAACTAAAAGAACAAGTGGCAGCCTTCACCCCTCAACCAGTTGTCAACAATTTAGCAGATAACATAAGATAGGATACCAATAAATGGTAAGAAGACATATATAATATTCAAGGATCTAAAAGAAATTTCAGGAGAAATAAAGATACAAAATTAGTGTGAGCAGCAGTAATAAAGATAGAAAATTAATAGGTATTGGTAGCTACCTCATCAATCCCACGTATCTTCAACACAACAGATGAAAATTTTGATTTCTTTTCTGGCTTTAGATTCACTTTAAATCCCTGGATCTGCTCGTCAACATATAGCACAGGAGACCTACCAGGACTACTTCCTCTGCTGGAACTTCTACTGCGCCCAGTATTATTAGTCTTCTCAAGAAAGCAATCTACTGGCAAAACCTTCCAATTCAATGTGCAAGACAAACAAAATTAACAAATCCCATGCCACTAGACTCAGTAAAACATCACAAAATACAAAGCACAGCCTTGTTGGAAACACTTTTTTCTTTTGAAATGGAAATTCCATAGCCTTTTCTGCTATTACCTTAATTGATTGCAACTCTGGGGATCTTGCAAGCAAAGATCTTATATACAGAATCCTAACACGGGAAACAAGCATGGTGTCCATCACACGTTTAGGTTCCATCTTTCTAATAAAAGAGAAAACAGAATCCTTAATCTCAGCAAGAATTTCATGTTCCCTAGAGGCACCAGCTTTGATGACAGCAGCCAGAACCTGAAATCATTTTGAGATATGCTCACATAAATTACCCTGGATTTGGTGCAATCAACCTCATTTGTTTTCGATAAAATTGTATGCACAACCACTTTTTGATGTTCAATACATTTTCATTTCAAGTTGCTATAGTATGAGAGCAATTCCAGCTGTACATATTCTCGTAGTAAATGTACAAATTAAAATAGAAAAATATAAGAATTGGCAGTTTGTATTATAAACACACAAGTATATATATATTATGTAGAGTGCTTATGAATAGAACAAATTCGTTTTCCAGTACACTATGTTGTCTGCCATTGCTAACAATATATGTTAACATATCAAGTGTTTGTCAAAATTTTCCTTCACTTTTTTAGTGAACTTAGGTCTCACTGCTCAGTATAGGAGATTCAGGATGCTCCAATTGGCCTATCCTAAAACTCTGGCAGTGATGCATTCTGCTATAACAGGCTTGTCTACGGGTTTCAGTCCTCTCTCATGTCTCAGCATGTGACAGCGCAAGGAGTCAGTTGTCCTTTGGTTTCTTTCACTGGCAAAGACCTGCCATGTCCAGTGTATTTTTCTGGTTGCTTGCCTCCCTAATGGCTGACGTTGAAATTCAGATGGTGACAAAGACAGTTGAATGTTGAAGCAAACTTTTCTTTGCAGATACGAAATTCAATGGAAGTTGAGCTAATTGGCTTAACCAATCACTGAATATGCGTTTATTAAGGAATGGAATAAGTATTCAAATTTCTTATTCAAGTAAAGGTCTCCTGTATCTATGAATCATGTAAAGCCCTTTGATAGGTATCAGCAAAAATTAGGAGAAAAAAAGAATGAAATTCGTATATTATTGCTCACTCTGTCAAAACAATACAGAGGAGAAGACAACTCACTGATGTGATACAATGGCCTCAGTCCCAAGTCCCAGATCCACTCGCCCCACCCCCAAAATACATGCTCACCTCCCCTCTATATTCTCCCATTCTCTTTTCCTCATCCGATTCCTCCTCCAGCTCACCTGCTAACTCAGCAATTCTGTTAAGATCCCAATCATTGGGTGGGTGTGTACTTGTGGACCCCATGAAATGGCCTTCCACTTCTTCCTTTCATACACCTTACTAAGCTTCCCAATTTTCCTTTTCTTCTCTAAACTCATACTCGAATCACCATTTATTAGGTAGAAGAACAGGTTACGCTACTCAGCCTATTTTATGAGCTTAATATAACTTGATGTGCTGCTACCTTTCAGTCATGATGTCAAATTTATAAGGCTTGATATGAGAAAATGACAGTTAAGAACTTCCTATACATCCTCCAGATTTGATATTTCTTTTCTGTAAGATACTGATAAAAACCTTGGGAGAATCATATAGCACAAAAGCCAGCCATTGCAGTTGGATAGCACAAGGCTTTATAAATATTGGGAAGTACCAGATTACCTACCTCATTTATTGGAATGCAGTTTATATATGTGTTAAGGCAAGTTCACTTATTGTCAATTGATTTTAAAGTGAAATCTGACATGCTGTTAAAGCCTACAGCTCATCTTGGTAATTGCCTATTGTGGTAAGCTCATCTAGTTTGGCAAGTAGATACGGATAGGGGTGTTGGAAAGTACATCACCTGAAATTAATTATTGAAGTCCGTCTTATATATTTGTTGGAAAACTTCACTCAATGTCAATTGGTTTTAAGATGAAATTTGACATAGTATCAGAGTCTATAGCTCATCCAAGTAAATAACCTATTCTAAAAGACTTGTTAGAATATTTACCCCATTTATCATCATTATATTGCGACTAGGGTTACCTTATTTATCATGTACTCTTATAACAGTTTATTCTTATAAATAAAAGATTATGAGAGGGATAATTAAGCCTTCAAGAATTATTTCACAGTTTCAATCTTAATTTGGTATCAGAGCAAGTTGTCTGAGTCTCTTCTTATTTTGTCTTTGTTGTAGTTGGTAGCCGGTGGCCGTTGCCACCGGCGGCCTTAAAAGTTTCATCTTTTCTGAAATACCTTAATAGGTAGTCCCGTTCTCCTAATGATATCACAAATTTACAGTGTTCCCCTCACTGTTTTTCCGTTGTGAACCGTCGCTCTCTATTGTCGGCCTCCGTACGCCGTGGGCCACCATTCGCCACTGGCCACTGTCACAGTTTCGACCGGTGACCAGCAGATCTGGATTGCCTCCTCGAGCAACGACAAACCCCACTGGTGCAATGGGCTACTTCTCATCCACACCCCACCAAGAGCACAACATATATCCGATGTTCAATGCTGTCCTTTTCTTCGACGAAGACAAGGGTTAGGTGCACCTCAATGAGCGCGACTCATCCCCGTCGGCTTCATATGTCCGATGTTCAATGCAGACGTCCTTTGGAACCCTATGTCTTCAGATCTCTTATGTTTCATCGCTTCTTACAACATTCTCATGCCATTTACCCTATCAGGGGTTCAAAAACCCCACACCAGTTAGAGTATGGCTATTAAAATCCTTCTCAACGTTGTTTCATTATTGTCTGTCTCGCCACATCACGCCGAGTCCATATTTAGCCGTGGTTTCTAATTTGTAGTCATTTGGTTGGTATTTTTGAAGAGTCATAGATTTCGTGGTGAATGAAAGTGAAGATGGCATAAAAAAAGTCTTCCCAAGGAATATTAAAAAAAAAAGTGCCTCTGTTTAGCATTGTATATTTGTTCCTTAGCACTTTCCATGATGTGTGTTTAGCTTTGCATGATCATTTATAGTGTTGTTAAAATGGGTTGTAACCCGCGAGCCAACCCGGCTCACCACGTGTTTGAAAAAAGTGTAATTCTTTTATGTGAGCTAGTTTTCAACCCAGCTCACCGTGTTGAACCCGTGGTGAGCCGGGTTGGCTCACAAACCCACCTAATTTAAATTAATTATTTATTATTTTGTGTTTCAATATTATTAGTTAACATTTTTTTATTATATTATAGATGGTGATAAAGAAGATGTTTCAAGAAAGAAAAATATTATAAATTTATTTATTCAAGACTCTAATATTATAAATGGACAAATCATACAAAAATTATCAATCTTTAAAACTTATTTGTTCGCCTTTTATACAAGTTTTTGGATTATGCTTGGATTGTATGATATTTTTTTTTTATTTTGAATTGTCTTTGGAGTTTAACATCAATTTAGTGTGACGATTATTTAGATTTAAATTAAAAAAATTGTAATGTTTAGATTTTAAAAAAAAATTATAATTAAATGAGTCAATGAGTCAACTCGTTTAACCCACCAACCCGTGGTGGGTTGGACCGGGTTCGCATTTTTTCAGCTTGCTAAAAGTGAGCCAAGTTGGGTTGGCTCACTAAGTAACCAACCCGTGGTGAGCCGGGCCGGGTCGAGCTAGGTTAGCGTTTTGACAGCTCTAGTCATTTATTTACCAGTCTCCAAGGGTAGTCGGTGGTTAACACCAAGGAATTTCAACACCAAATTCATGGGTTGAACGTTGCTCATGGAATGAGCGAAGTCTATTTCTGGCGAGATTCAAAATCTTAGTCAACAATTTCACCAACCCTTTGTCAGATCTATTTTTGGGTCCTTTGATGAATAAAGGAGACTATTATGATCTTCCACTTTCACGATTTGTCATCGGCGCGCCGTCATTTATGCCATTTGCCATGAGGGGGAGTATGTTTCCAACCACTACAGGCCCCACTAGTCAGATATGGAAGTCCTTGCAGTTTTGTCACTTTTAGCAATTGCAGACCCCATACTTAGTTGATGGCAATCCAGTCCTTGCAGTTTGTCAATGTCCTCCTTTGTCAAAGTCATTCTACTTGAGGTTTCATGGTGCTAGTTGAAGTTTCGTAGTTGTCGACCACTGTCCAATCCATAAGCTGTTAGTTTTTCGTCGACATTTGATTGAACATCTGTTTGTCGCACATTCTTGAAGACAGATCATATATTTCAAATTGAGTTTATTTATTCCAAGCTTGGTTTATACAATCTGTATGCTCCAGCTTGAGGGGGAGTGTTAGAATATTTACCCTATTTATCATCATTATATTGTGTCTAAGGTTATCCTATTTATCATCATTATATTGTGTATAGGGATACGCTATTTATCATGTACTCCTATAACAGTTTATTCTTATAAATAGAAGATTATGAGAGGGATCAATTAAGCTCTCGAGAATTATTTCATAGTTTCAATCTTAAGTAGACTCACTGATTCCACAAGAATTTCTGAAGAGGGGTGTTGGAAAATCCCACATCACCTATCTCAATTCTTGGAGTGGCTTATATCTATTGGACAACTTTGCTTAATGTGAATTGGTTTTAAAATGAAAGCGGACTACAAATTCCTCAAACTAGAATACCTACTCCCAATCTGGGACTCATGTTGCATACCTTGCAATTTGTGCTCCACATTCCCACCACATGCTTCACAACCCCAACATCAATGCAAGTTGGCTATGCACTAGCACTTTGATTGGTCTTGAGAAATTAATAAAATGCCAGCATCACCACACCCATACCATTCACTAGAAAGCTAAGAGCCTAAGACATGTCAAAAAGCTACGAAACCAATTGGTAAGACCCTCAGATTTACGTGGGTGCAGCAAAGACATATATGAGAAAACAATGTTTAGGGCTCTCCAATATCAATTGGCAAATCATTTGGTATCGATCACTTATGTGTTTTGTCATAATAAAAAATGGATACAAAATTTATTTGTGTAGGGTGCTTAAAGGTTTAACAATGTTACCAATTTTTTAATGATTTGGATGAACAAATATGTGACAGCCAAGAAGTTGGAGCAACCAGGTGTAGGCAGAGGATGGGACCGAGCGTCAAAAGCTTTGTTCCATTTCTCTTATACAACTATCTCTCCAAAATCTCTACTTTCTTCTCTCTCCTCCTTCTCTCTAGATTTCTTCCATCTCATCTCATCTATTTTACAATCAGACGGTGCCTAAGCAATCTTGGTGTCAAGAGCTTCCATTCCTACCATCAGATTATTGTTTAGAGCTGGTAAGTCTTGTTTGCTTGAGTTCTTGTGAATTTTCGAAAATTTGTGACACATGCAAGCCATGTTTATGTTTGCATGTGTTCATCGGTCTTCTTCCTCCCTCCTGACTTCATTTTTGGTCTTTTGGTTGGTTTGTTCTCACAAATCTGTGAGTTATAGGTTCTTAGGATTTTCTGGTGTTGAGAGCAAAATTTTTGAAGTTCTTGAGTTGTCTAGTTCCGTCAAAGAGGTAAGGGAAGCTAGTTAATTTAATTATTTGGTTGATGATGTATGAAAATGATGTTTGATGGCTTTGCATGTGTGAAACTGAATGATTGTGTGTTGGTATTGTTATTGAATACTCTTGAGTGTTGTATTCATGTTGATTGTGATTCTGTATAATTTTGGGAGGAAGTGTGATAGTGAAGATGGAGAATTTGTGTTAGGTGTGAGTTTGGTCTGTATAATATAAATTGGGAGGATTAGAAGTTAGGAAGAACAAAGGAAATTGGTAAAGATTTTGGTGTTGATCATAATTCTGAAGTCATTCTACAAAATTATGCAGTTCGCTAAGGGTCCTTTGTCGACCGTTCGGCTTTCTCCTTGTGCTTGGTCTTAACTAAGTTCTGCTTATGTGGGACTTCAGTTAATGATCGATCGGTCTTGTACAGGTAGTTGATTTTATAAAGTGGTCGGTGCTATCTGAGTATTTTGTCCAAGTCTAGAGCGATCGGTGTTAGTGGGATGTGTAGCATCATAGTAGCGATCGGTCATAGTGGGATGTGTAGCCTCGTAGTAGCGATCGATCTTAGTGGGATGTGTAGCCTCGTAGTAGCGATCGGTCTTAGTGGTAATTTTTGTTCAGCCTACATTTATATTATTTCCTGTGTGCTATTTTAATTAATCGTTCCAATTACTTTGATGGTTTATGTATGCATTATCATAATGGTGTAAAAATGAAAGTATGGTATGATGATTGTAATATGGATGTGAAAGAGAATTCCAAGGAGGAATGTCTCAGTGATTTGGTATTAAGGTGGTGGTAAAGTATGAATATGGTTAGCGAAATCCACGACGTTCATCCTGACATTCTAATGATTACCAAGTCTCAAGTAGAGATGGGTAAGTCATGTCGTGAGAATAGCAGGAGGTCCTAGCCTATAGGGTATCGTAGGTGAGTTATAACGGACTAAACCCGGGTGGCAGCGGAGGGTGTTCAAGTTAATACACCCCCAGGCACAGAAATGGCCTTAAGCTATATTTTCATACTTGTCCAGACTGCAAAGTAAAGTGGTCAATCAATATGTGTATATATGTTTTATGCATGTGCATGAGTGTTTTATCTGATTATTGAATTTTATGTTAACATGATTATTAAATTACACTAGCTTACCCTGCTTTTCTATTTTTGCCATGTTTACCCGTTCAGTTTATCCTTTGCAATGATCATCCTGTGGTGTGAGCAGAGGGAGATGACGTCTCTGTGGAGCAAGCTCTGGAGGGAGAGGATCCACCCGTTTGAGTATAAGACCGTTCGGTCTTGTACATAGTTTTGTGTTAGACTAAGGTAGTGTATAAAGTTTTAATTTTATAGTTATTTTGGGATAATTGTACTGTTAACACTTTAATACTAGGTGGATGACTGTTTTATCATATCATTTCATGTGATGATTCTATTATGTAGTTTATTCTATATTTTGGGATGTTACAAAATACACCAGATCATGGGTTAGCAAGGATTATGTATTTGATTATGGTATCATGCCATTTTTAAATGTGAGGATGAAGATGGAAATTTGTGTTTTCAATCACAAGGAAGGCAAGCCTGAACAGGAAGTTTAGACATTTTACTGGTAAATTATACATCAGCCGACACCTTACAATCAACAAAGACCGCCTTTGTAGCCTAGACAAGAGAAGTGACATAGTGTAATGAGATCCTTTGGGATGTAATCAAAGTTGTCGTGTTGTTCAGTGAGTGACTAGAGCCTTATATGCATACCAAAATGTTCAAAATAACATGTAAGATCAGGATTTGGACATTACTCCCAGACTCAGTTTAACATAACAGAAAATAACATAAACATTTGCACATATTACAATAAATCTGTTCTCAGCAAACTGAGTCATAAAAATAGATAATTGATGCATACCAGCATCAAAAGCTTGTTTGCACCGTCAGAAATGGCAGCATGCCCTTCATATTGGTCTGGATCAAAGTCATTCAAAGCAGCAGTAAGATATTCACCTGCAGGGGTACTCTTAACTATTTCAGAGCCAGTTTTAACTAGAGCAACTGTGCCATCCTTTTTATCAGTGGCCAAAGGTGAAGTGGCCACAGAACGAGAACTTGTAGTGTTGCCAGAGCCATTTCTGTATCAAGCCAACCACAATATGATCGATAATCATATGCAAGGAAACAAAAACAAAACTTACAAGGAGTAGAATAAATTGTACCTTCCCATATCCAGAGGCTGAACATTAGCTGGCCCACGAGCTAATGGACTAGACAACTGAAAGAAAGGCATGAATTTTAGGGAGCCAAAGGTACCCCACACAAAGCAACACAAAAAAAAGAAAAAAAACATGACATTGATATAAAATAATTGTTACATTACTCTTTGGATGCTATTCGGGATTATATATTACCATGTGTTGCTGAAATCCTAATTTATCAAAATAAAATAAATAATGGTAGGAAAAATGATAGAACATTAAAGGTATATGAGAGGAAGAAAAGGAGAGGAGGGTAGGGTAGGGAGAAATAAGAGCGGGAAAAAAGTAGTGTCATAGTTAGTTTGAAGGAAGGGGCATACTATAAATAGGAGTTAGTTTGTAAATGGGAGTACATTTGATTTTGACTAGAAACTTGTTCAAGTGGGAGGGAGATAGGCTTCCTTGAGGGTGACTATTCTATACAAAATTATTTCATTCATCTAAATAAAAATACATACTATTCAGACTGAAAAAGAGAGGGTTGATCGACTTCTTGACTAAAGAAGTCTATCAAGTTTGGTCTAACCTGTCGGATCCCAAATAGAGGTGAGGCATGCGATGGAGGAAAGGATGAACACCTTGGAGGGACGGTTCAACGTGATTGAAACAAAGATGGAGCAGTTCAAAGCGGAGATGTGAGGGATAGCCCAAGAATTGGGTCGTGTTCTTCGGAGAAGAGGGGAGAACCAGGAAAGGAGTTCTGAGGGCAGTCGCAACTCTATCAATGGAGGTCAGGAGAGACGAAGGGAAGGTTCTAACAAGGACTTGGAGGACGATAGAGGGAATGTTCAGAGGAGTTGGATGAAACGTGTGGAGTTACCGACTTTTGAAGGTTCGAATCCCATGGGTTAGATTGCGAGAGCGGAGAAGTTCTTCGAACTGCAAAACGTGTCGGAGACAGAAGATGAAATTGGCTTACATTTGTGCAGAAGGGGGAGCGAACTACTGGTTTCGGTTCTGGCGAAAGAAGACCAAGAACCCCTCTTAAGGGGCATTGACAAAAGCTATGTTGTTGAGGTTTAGTGGCAGGTATCAGGGAACCATATTTAAGAAGTTAGCGACGATGCAGCAGAGGGAACTGTGAAGGAATACGTGTAAGAATTCGAGATTCTGGTGGCACAAACAACAAGGGTGACAGAGGAGCAGCTTCTTGGGTATTTTTTCGTGGGATTACACGAAGGGCTGAGAAATCTTATTAGACCTTTTGACAACAATGGAGACAGCGCGCAATGTGGAGTAGGTTGGGCTTCTTCCGCAAGTGAATAATGTTGGAACGACGAGTAAAGGAGGGCAATCGTGGGGGCGATACCCGACCAATATGGGTACAGTAGCAAGGAGTGAAACTTACAAGGGGGCTTCAAAAGGTCTTGGGAATACTGGCGGAGGAAATGGCTTGAAGAAAGAAGGGGTTTCTAATACCGCGAGTTCCAAAGTAGGCAATAATGCAGGCAACAGAGCGTAGAGTCGAGGAGTGCAAACATTGCCCTACCCAGAATACATAAAGAGGAGGGAAGAGGGACGTTGTTTTCATTGTGGTGGGCCCTATAGTCCAGGGCACAGATGCGGAAAAAGGAGTTTGAGAGTAATAATCATGGCAGAAGGGGATGAGGAGGAGGAGGTCGAGGAAAACGAGAAGGTAGAACAGAGGTGCATGGAGCCATCCGTGTTCTCTACAGGGGAATTAATATAATCCAATACCACAAAGCTGTAAAGCTTGGTGCGGGGGAGAAAGATCCTTGTCTTGATCGATAGTGGGGCAAGCCATACCTTCATCTCGTCGAGATTGGTGGACGAACTGGGTTTAGAGAAAGAGGAGACTCCAGCTTACCAGGTATGTTTGGGGGATGGACAAAAAAGGAAGACTCAGGGATGTTGTGTGGAGGTCCCTTTAATGCTGGAAGGGGCAGAGATAAATGAGAAATTATATCTCTTTGAATTAAGATGGGTGGACATTATCCTTGGGGTGGCATGGTTGGCAACGTTGGAAGAGATTAAGGTGGATCGGAAGAAGATGACTATGGAATACGGGTCAGCAGAGAAGGAGATAGTGATCAAAGGAGATCCTACGTTGACGCGTAGACTGGTTACTCTAGAAGCACTTCTAAAGGAAACGGAGATTGAGACGATGACCTAGGTTTGGAGTCTTAGTCGAGCAGAGGTTACAGTTAGATCCGAGGACGTTGAGGTTAACAACTAGGAAGGAGGCAGGGTTGGATGGGATTTTGAAGGGGTGTTTCAGGAGCCTCACGGGCTTCGACTTGCTAGGAGGATAGATCACTGAATACCAATCAAAGATGAAGACTAAAATATCATTACCCACACTTGATGAAGACTGAAATAGAAAAGCAAGTAGAGGAGATGCTAGGCTTGGGTATCATTAGACCCAGCAACTGCCTTACTCGAGTCCAGTGATCCTAGTTAAGAAAAAGGATGGGAGTTGGAGATTTTGTGTGGATCACCGAGCACTAAATCATATCACTATTCCTGATAAGTGCCCTATCCCTATCATTCAAGAATTACTAGATGAATTACAAGGAGCACTCTATTTTTCTAAGGCAGATCTAAAGGCTGGGTACCATCAAATAAGAATGAAGGAGGAGGACATTCCCAAGACTGCTTTCAGTACCCATCAAGGGACTATGAGTTTCTGGTAATGCCCTTTGGGCTAACAAACTTCCATCTTGAGACCTTTCTTAAGGAGTTGTTTATTGGTGTTCTTTGATGATATATTAGTGTATAGCAAGACCTGGGGAGAACATGAACAACACCTCTGACAAGTATTAGAGGTATTAGCCCAGCAAAATTTGTTTACCAACAAAAAGTAGTGTGAATTTGGAAGAAAACAAATCAAATATCTTGAACATATGATATTAGAGAGAGGGGTGGAAATGGATGGGGATGAAGTGTCAACGAAGACAGACTGGCCAGAGCCCAGTAGCATTAAGGAACTAAGGGTTTTCTTGGGGCTCACAAGGTATTATAGGAGGTCCATAGGAGATTATGGGAAGATAGCAAGACCCCTCACAGATCTGTTGAAGAAAGGGAAGTCTTAGTGGTCCCAAACCAAGGCTGAAGCAATGCAGGCTCTCAAGAAGGCAGTGACCATTGCTCTAGTTCTGGCTTTGCCAGATTTTTCACAAACATTCCGAGTGGAATGTGATGCTTCCAGAAGGGGGATAGGGGTTGTGTTATCGCAGAGTAAGAGGCTGATTGCCTACTTTAGCAAAGCATTGTCAGAAGCATCCCTCCCCAAATCAGTTAATAAGAAAGAATTGATGGCTCTTGTGTTGGCCATTCAACATTGGCACCATATCTGTTGGGCCAGTGCAGAGGTTCATAGTTTATACGGATCATATGAGTTTGAAATATTTGTTGGAGTACAATATCACCATGCAAAACCAACAAATTTGGCTGGCCAAGTTAATGGGGTACGAGTTTGACATCTACTACACGACAGGGGCATATAATCGTGTAGCGGATGGGTTATCCAAGATAGGGGAAGAATTGGAAGAAGGGGATAAAGTGTTACAGGTGATCACCAAGCCAAATTGACCAAATTTTCAGGAAGTAGTGGAGGAGGTGGAGCGTGATGCTAGCTTGAAGAAAAATATGGATGAAGCGGAAGCATATCCAAATTCACAACCTGCATACAGATTGGAGAATGGGAGGCTGCATTATAAGGGAAGGCTAGTACTCTCAGCCAAGTCTGGATGGATACCGAAGCTATTGGTAGAATTTTCATATACTTCTACAAGGGGGCATTTTAGGGTGTATCAGACATATAGAAGGATTGCACAATCCCTTCACTAGGTGGGCATGAAGAAGATGGTGACAGACTATGTAGCTGCATGTTTGGTCTGCCAACAACATAAGTACCTAGCTTGCTCTCCTAGGGATTCCTTCAACCGTTACCTATTCCCAAGGCAATAATATGGGAAGAAGTGAGTATGGATTTCGTGGTGAAGCTACCAAAATCCCAAGATTACGAGGTGATATTAGTGGTGGCGGATAGACTGAGTAAGTACAGGCATTTCATACTCGTTACCCCCATATACAACCAAGACAATAGTAGAAATATTTGTCAAGGAGGTGGTTAGGCTTCATGGGATACTCGTGTCAATTGAGTGACAGGGATCCCACTTTTCTCAATATCTTTTGGAAAGAAATATTCAGGATGCAAGGGACCCAGCTCCGAATGAGCACCACTTACCATCCAGAAACATATGGACAAACAGAGGTATTGAATATGATATTGGAGACATATTTGAGGTGCTTTAGTTCAGAATAACCAAAGGTGTGGAGTATAGTGTTTCCATGGGCGGAATACTAGTACAATACAAGTTATCAGGGGGCCTCCAAATGCACCTGTTAGGGAGTTGATTGTATATAGGAGGAGGGGTAAAGTCACAAAGCCTAACTGCCAAGGCAGTTAGGAATAGTTCTGTTAAGTGATGTTAGTAAGTGATATAAAAGGGGGATTAGTGGTTGGTTGGGATTAGTTTTGAGTATTATTGTTTGGCGGGAACTCTGGTAGTTCTTTGGAGGGAGGTTAAGCTCTCGGATTACGTTGTATCACCATTCTTGTGATTCTTTTCAATAAAAGGAGGGCTGTATAATTCAGATAAATTGTCTTTGTGTGTTCTTGAGTGTCTTTCCATAGGTTCTTGATCCCAAGAACCTATCATTTGGTCCGACCTGCCGGATCACGAAGGGGAGGAGCCAGCTATGGGGAGCGAGACGGAGGGAAGGTTAGATAACTTGGAGATCACGGTTGAGGGAATCAAAGATGAGACCGCGGCAATCAGACGCGACGTGCAGCAATTGATGAGAATGATGGGGGGAGGTTCGAACCATCAAGGGGGTGGTTCTGAAGGGAGCAGTAGCTCGGTGAACGAGAACCCAGGGAGGGGCGATACTGGGGGAATCGGGGTCAATTGGCGGAAGAAGGTGGAACTGCCATCATTCGAAGGCGGAGATCCATACATTTGGATTAATCGGGCTGAAAGATTTTTTGACATTCAGAAGGTAGCAGAGGGGGATAAGGTCGAACTCGCTTACATTAGTATGGAGGGAAGCGCGAGTTATTGGTTCAAGTATTGGCGGGA